ATCTTATCTTATCTTATCTTATCTTATCTTATCTTATCTTATCTTATCTTATCTTATCTTATCTATCTGCACGTCCGGATGACTTAAAGCCTACAACACATTATTGTAAAGTGTACAAGTTGGGAGGTTACTGAACTGAGGATTATCAAAATTATGAAGAAATTGTTCAAAAAAGAATAGACTTTTAGACTGTTTAGTTTTAGAATAGCAGTTTGTGATTACAGCCATGACAATTTTATTTTAATGCTTTTTAACACGTGTTTACATACAGTATAAGCATCAATAACCTCTCAGTATATTCCCCACAACATATGATGTTACAGTGAACACTGGTTAGGAAAGTTTTTCCAACACTATATTACATGAATTGTCAATGCAGTACTTTATTTTAAATAGCTACCGAATTGTTGCAAGTCATTTGCTCTCTAGGAAATTCATAATAGTGGCCTGTGGCTTCAATGTAATTTTCGCTCATGAAGAGGGCGGGGAAAGCTTCCAGGCCTGTGCATAGACAATTTAAAGAATAGAAATCCTACGGACCGATGACAAACCGTGGGACCGCCATCTTGGAACGGTCGCCGCTTCTCTGGCAAGCAGCGCATTGATCGCACCGTGACTGCTGAATATGGGCGTCAGTAACCCGACACTGTAACTGTAATATTCTTTTCACATAATACAAACATTAATATTTCCATCGTTCTTGTGAAATGTTCCCAGAGCTCTGACGTCAGGCATCTTCTGCTGTTTTGGTTTAGCCGTGTAGGAAGGACGACCGCTCCAAGATGGCGACTGTGCTTCACGCGCCCCTCCAGCCAATGCGACTTCTACCCTTTATGTATATGGGCCAGCGGAGTTTGGAGCAGTTTGGAGTCATTTCCGCTTGAGGTTGTGGAAGTTTTTTTTTCTTTAAGCAAGTTTATCCCTTTTAAATCTCGACAACCGTCGCCATGTCCAACAACAACGCCAGCAGCAACTTGGTCGTGGCTCAGAGGGCCGTGAAGCAGCTCCGGATAGAGGCCGGGGTCCGGAGGATCAAGGTACGAACCCCGATCTGACACAAAAACACGGAAGACTTCCGCTGAATGGCGGAGGCATTGTTGAAGTGACATAAAGTGACTAACATGTCCAACGAAGGTCCAGTAAAGTATTACCGAAGTTTCTGCTCCGTTTGTTTAGGAGAGTTGTATCGAGGTGCAGAAAACCAGACGAGCTTATTAACGCCAGACTCTTTTATTGTTTATTTATTCAAAGGAAATGCGGGAAAGCAGCAGATATTACGACCCCTCCCGTTTTTCTCTTGCTTGCAAATGTTATGCAAAAGAAGCGGCACTGAGCGGTCTGGGTGGGCAGTGGCAGACTAATGTCGTGTTTGTGCTGCTCGTGTTTCCACACCATATGTTTGGCTCCACAGGTGTCCCAGGCCGCTGCTGAGCTCAGAAACTTCTGTCTCCAGAACGCCTCCAAGGACCCTCTGCTGATGGGGGTCCCCTCCAGCGATAATCCTTTCAGACCCCCCAAATCCTGCTCTCTGTTCTGAGGTCAGATGGCTTCTTTTTTTCTTGCATATTTACAGCACCAGACAGGAGCTCAATGCCACTGACATCCTGTTTGTACACAGTTTATCAGATTTTTAGCTCACTTTGACCAACCCCTGTCACATATTTTGACGAGAATCATATGAAAAACCTCTATGAATTATTATTATTATTGTTTTTGTATTTTCAGTTTAGTGCAAATCAATTAAAAATAGCTTTATTGATCCCAAAGGGAATTTTTTTGATTACATCTATTAGTATTTGGCGTTTGTTTCATTTGTTTTGCTGTAAAACACCCACAATGTTTTAGTCTTAGTCTTGAGACCACACATTGGGCCTCATGCAAGAACCGTTCGTACGCACAGATTTGTTCTTAAGTTGTGCGTACGAGTGATTTAGGAGAATTTGTGGCATTCACCAATGT